CAAGTAACAAGAGTATTGATCAAAACCTGTGTTCTCTGGCTGGGTGAGGTGGCTCATGCCTGTAATCCCAGCACTTTGGGAGGCTGAGGTGGACGGATCACCTGAGGTAAGGAGTTCAATACCAGCCTCGCCAACAACAACAAACCTCGCCTCTACTAAAAATACAAAAATTACCTGGGCATGGTGGTGGGTGCCTGTAATCCCAGCCTCGAAAAGCTGAGGCAGGAGATTCACTTGAACTGGGGAGGTGGAGGTTGCAGCAAATGGAGATCCCACCATTGCACTCCAGCCTGGGCAACAAGAGTGAAACTCCATCTGAAAAAAACAAACAAAAAACCTGTGTTCTCATGGAAAGTCATTTGTTACGTACCAGGTGAATGAACCTGGTATTTTTCAGGTAATACTACTCAGGATGCTGAGGCAGGAGGATCCCTTGAGCCCAGGAATTTGAAGCCACCCTGGGCAACATAGGGAGACATCATCTCAAAACAAGAAGCTATAATAGGAATAAAACAAATAATCAAAGATTTCCTTGAAAAGGGATTGATTATCCCTTCCACCAGTCCTAATACTCCCATCTTCCTGACACAAAACCTCACAGGGAAGGATGAAGATTTGTACAAGATTTGAGAGCTATTATTAATACTACTGTGATTCCTTATCAACCAGTAGTTCTAAACCCCCACACTCTTTTATCCAGCGTACATATAAACTGTGAATATCTTAACTGTTAATGATTTATGCAGTGCTTTTTAGGCATACCAATACACCCTAACAGTATTTGTTTGCCTTTACCTAGATTGGATATCAATATATCTGTACTGTTGTGCCTCAAGGTTATACCAAAGTTCCAACTTATTTTTCACACATATTAAAGACTGACCTAGCTTAGCTAAATTTCTCTTGTTATGCTTCTCCAATCTGCATAATTGTAAAAAGGACTCCTTGTACTTCCTGGAACAAAAAGCAAAAAGAGATCATAATCTATCTACAGAAAAACTCCAGTTTTGCTTTACAAACTATCTACAGAAAAACTCCAGTTTTGCCTTACAGAACTAAAAGATTTGGAACATTTAATTCCTAAGGAGAAACCACATATACATCTGGATTGAGTAACTGGACTTCTTTGATACCCTACTCCAAAAAGTAAAAGACATCTCCAGCTGGGTGCAGTGGCCCACACCTGTAATCCTAGTACTTTGGGAGGCCAAGGCGGATGGATCACCTGAGGTCAGGAGTTCGAGACCAGCCTGACCAACATGGAGAAACTCCGTCTCTACTAAAAATGCAAAATTAGCCAGGTGTGGTGGTGCATGCCTGTAATCCCATCTACTCAGGAGGCTGAGGCAGGAGAATTGTTTGAACCTGGGAGGCAGAGGTTGCAGTGAGCCGAGGTCTCAGCATTGCACTCCAGCCTGTGCAACAAGAGCAAAACTCCATCTAATACATATAAAAAAAAAAAGACAATTCAACGGGATTTTAGGCTTGGGTGGCTACTGCCATAGCTGGATGTCCAATTTTTCTCTAATGCCACAGACTTTATATGCATTGTAGAAAGATCAACCTAACCTCATACACTGGACATCAGAAGGACAAATAATAAATAAAGAAAAATCTTACAAGCCCCCATTTTGGCCCATGCAAATTATTAGCTGCTGTTTTTCCTTTGTTTGTTTTTTGCAGTTTTTTGTTCGTGCAAGCTATGGCAGTTCCCTTCGTATTCTAACCCAAAAAACTGAAGGACAATGTAGGGCTATTGGTTATTACAGTCAGCAATTAGACTTTGTAGCACATGGGTGACCTCTTTGTCTGAGGGCCATTTTTGCCACTGCCATGCTCCTTACAATTACTCAGAAAATTGTAATGGAGGCTCCTCATTCTGTGGAAGCGCTTTTGAAGTCACATAATACACAGCAATTTTCCGTTAATAGATTGGTTTCTTATGACATACTGTCTGCTTCATATGCTGCCCTCTCTATCTGTAATCCTCTTAATCCTGCAGTGCAACTTCCTGAAACAACAGATGAAATATTTCATCACTGTGTTCTACTCACAGAAGAGCTGTTGGTGTCCAGACAGGATTTATAGGAGACATCATGTAAAAATGTTGATATTCTCTGGTTCACAGATGGATCAGATCTGAAGGATAAATTTTGAAAATACTGAGCAGGCTACAGCCTTGTGTCTCTTGTGGACATCAGAAAGAGCAATCCCACCAGGTGTAGTGGCTCACGCCTGTAATCCCAGCACTGTGGGAGGTTGAGGCGGGCGGATCACAAGTTCAGGAGTTCAAGACCAGCCTGGCCAATATGGTGAAACCTTGTCTTTACTAAAAATATGAAAATTAGCCGGGCATGGTGGTGGGTTCCTATAGTCCCAGCTACTCGGGAGGTTGAGGCAGGAGAATCGCTTGAACCTGGGAGATGGAGGTTGCAGTGAGCCTAGATTGCACCAGTGCACTCCAGCCTGGGCGACAGAGCAAGACTGTCTCCAAAAAAAAGATAAAAGGAAAAAAAGAGCAATCCCTTGCCTCAACTAAAATCAGCACAGCTAGCTGAATTAACAGCACTCACCAGTTTGTCAACTGGCCAAAAATCAAATGGATAATATTTATACTTAAAGATACTATCAGTTGGTGTGGCTCATGATGTTGGGATGTTATGGAATCAGTGAGGCCTTTTTTTTTTTTTTTTTTTTTTTTTTGATACAGTGGCTTGTTCTGTTGCCCAGGCTGGAGTGCAGTGGCCAGCTCTCGGCTCACTGCAAGCTCCGCCTCCAAGGCCCACGCCATTCTCCTGCCTCAGTCCCCGGAGTAGCTGGGACTACAGGCGCCCGCCACTATGCCTCGCTGATTTTTTGTATTTTTAGTAGAGATGGGGTTTCACCGTGGTCTCGATCTCCTGACCTCGTGATCCGCCCACCTTGGCCTCCCAAAGTGCTGGGATTACAGGCGTGAGCCACTGTGCCCGGCCAAATTTTGTATTTTTAGTAGAGATGGGTTTCACCATGTTGGTCAGGCTGGTCTCAAACTCTTGACCTCATGATCAACCCCCCTCTACCTCCCAAAGTGCTGGGATTACAAGCGTGAGCCACCGCGCCTGGCCAGTGAGGTTACTTAACCTCCCCCAGATATCTAATTAAACATAGCTCTCAAGTTTCTGATATTTTAGAAGCCGTCGATTATCAAAAAAGAATGTGTTTTATTAACATTCTTGAGCATTCAAACTCACTTCTCCAAAGGAAAAAAAAAATTATTTCGCAGATGCAGCAGCAAAAGATTGTCTTGACACCAATATCACATGAAACTGTAAAGGTCACTACATTCCAAATAAGTGCCATTGAACAGGAACTCCAAGGGCTTCAAAAAGAGGCTTCAGATAAGAAAAAGTAGATATGGCTAACAAAGGGGTAACGCTTTTCCCCCACTTACAAATTTTGGTGTGGACCCAACAGGAGACCCATCTTGCCTTTGAGATTTCAATTTCTTATGGTCCAACATGTTTGTGAGCCAACTGACTGAAAATCTGAGAAAATGATTGCTTGGGGAAAGAAATATTACTGGAAACCCTCACCTCCGATATCGAATAAGGTTTCCACTAAATATCCAACTTACACTAAACATAATCCAAGAAAGGTTTTTTTTTGTTTGTTTTTGTTTTTGTTTTTGTTTTGAAACGGAGCCTCACTCTCTCCTCTGTCACCCCAGCTGGAGTGCAGTGGCACAATCTTGGCTCACTGCAACCTCCGCCTCATGGGTTCAAGTGATTCTCCTGCCTCAGCCTCCGGAGTACCTGGGATTACAGGCACGCGCCACCACGCCCAGCTAATTTTTCTGTTTTTACTAGAGACGGGGTTTCACCATGTTGGTGAGGCTGGTCTAGAACTCCTGACCTCGTGATCCGCCCCCCTCAGGCCTCCCAAAGTGCTGGGATTACAGGTAAGAGCCACCTCACCCAGCCAAATTTTTAAGTATAGAAAATTTTACAGGTCGGGTGCTGTGGCAGGCGCCTGTAATCCCAGCTACTCAGGGGGCTGAGACAGGAAAATCGCTTGAACCCAAGAGGCGGAGGTTACAGTGAGCCGAGATCGCACCAGTGCACTCCAGCGTGGGTGACAAAGGAAGACTCCATCTCAAAAAAAAAAAAAAAGAAAAAAGAGGTGGAGATTTCCCAGAACAGAGGTTCCCTCCCCCTTTTTAGACTATATAGGGTAACTTCCAAACATTGCCAGGGCATTGGTATACTGTCATGGCGCTGGTGGGAGTTAGCATGCTAATACATTATAATTAGCATATAATGAGCAGTGAGGATGACCAGAGGTCACTTTCATCACCATTTTGGTTTTGGTGCGTTTTAGCCAGCTTCTTTACTGCATCCTGTTTTATCAGTAGGGTCTTTGTGACCTGCATCTTGTGCCAACCTCGTATCTCATCCTGTGACTAAGAATGCCTAACCTGGGAATGCAGCCGAATAGTTCTCAGCCTTATTTTATCCAGCCATTTTCAAGATGGAGTCGCTCTGATTCCAATGCCATTGACAATGATAAGCACTTGCCAGCAAAGAGGTGAACTCATGGATTTAAGGCACTTGAAATATCTCAGTGTAAAAGCACCCTGTGCATACAAACTCCATGTTTGAACACCGCAGCCATTGTCCTGTAACATAATAGCATTTGTCTTATTCTCTTTGACGTTGATATCAGATTTCTAGAGGAATCTATAGGTTAAAGATATAGCATAAATAAAAGTGATGTTAATGGGCTGAGCACGGTGGTTCACGCCTATAATCCTAGCATTTCAGTAGACCGTAGCAGGAGGATCATTTGAGGCCAGAAGTTCGAGACCAGCCTGGCCAACATGAGGAAACCCTGTCTCTACTAAAAATACAAAAAGTAGCCGGATGTGGTGGCACAGGCCTGTAATCCCAGGTACTCGGGTGGTTGAGGCACGAGAATCGCTTGAACCCGGGAGGCACAGGCTGCAGTGAGCCAATATCACACCACTGCACTCCAGCCTGAGTGACAGAACTGTGTCTTTAAAAAAAAAAAAAAGAAAAAAAAAGGAAGAAGCCGATCATCACAAATTCTGAAATAAGAAGTCTCCAAACACGCGGGCCATCAGTTGCACACAATACCCCCAGAAATGTGTGTATGGCCTCTTCTAAGATGGGAGACCGTCCTCGGCATCTGGACGTGGAGTCGCCATTTTCTAGCGCCCCTCGCAGTGGAGCTTGGCCCTTTCTTCCGAAAGTCGGAAGAAAGTCACCTTCAGCGCTGCCCATCTCTGGGAACTACATTACCCAGAATCCGCCCTGTGGAATGGAAGCGTGACTGAGCCAATGAAGCTTCAGAGAAGCCGCGCCATTGCGGGGGCACGTAAAGTCAAGCCTAGACTTCCGGCGTCCTAGTCGTGGCAGCCATTTTGGCCTGTGAGGCCCATACGGAGATTCTGGATCCGGACGAGCTCGGGAGGAGTGGCCATAGCACACAGGCGGATCTGAGGCTGGGCGACGCCACTGGTCGCAACCCGGGACAGGACAACCACAGGAACACCGCAGAGCCCGCGTCCCCCCGCCCGCCAACAAAGTCATGGCTGCAGCGGCCGCTCTGAGGGACCCCGCTCAGGTGAGCGCTGCGACCTCCGGGCCTCACCCACCCGGACCCTGAGGCCCCTGATCGTTAGGGGCGCCTCCTCGCGTCCCTGCAGCCCAGGCCTCTGTCAGGGACAGAGAGGCGCCGGCGGGTGGGATCCCTGTTTCCGACACCCAAGGTCGGCAGAGCGAGACTGGCTGAGGGTCCGGCACGGGCAAAGGCCTGCAGGCGCTACAGAGGCAGGAGGATGCGGAACATGGGGACATCTTGTGTCTACCGGGAACGAAGAGTGAGCCGCAGTTATTATTATTTTTTTTTCTTTTTTGAGACGGAGTCTCACCCTGTCGCCCAGGCTGGAGTGCAGTGGCGCGATCTGGCTCACTGCAACTTCCGTCTCCCAGGTTCAAGCGATTCTCCTGCCTCAGCCTCCCGAGTAGCTGGGATTACAGGCGTGTGCCGCCACCACGGGGTTTCACCATGTTGGCTGGGCTGGTCTCGAACTCCTGACCTCAGGTGATCCGCTCGCCTTGGCCTTCCAAAGTGCTGGGAGTACAGGCGTGAGCCACCGCGCCTGGCCGAGGCGGAGTTGTTTCTTCAGTACCAGGCTGAGGGTTGACCTTTGACTTTGAGGTCGCTAGAAGCCATGGACAGTTTTGAACAAAGGAGGAAATCTGTGTTAGAGTTAGGATTCCCAAAAGATGTTCAAAGGAAGTACCGAGTTGCAGGCGGTGATGAGGCTCTGAGAGGTTGAATCATTAAGAGGTGACATTGAGCCCTGGGCCACAAGATCATCTGGCGGCAGGGCCAGAAAAAGCTTACAGAGAAGCCTGAGTTTATCAAATCTGAGCACGGACACATTTGTGAAAGCCCTGCCTTTTGGCACACCTCATGGCTAAGGAAGCACTTAGGGAACCCACAGAAGGAAGTAGGGGCTGCTCTAGTCCCTCAGTGGTCCTCATCCTCACCCACATGTCTAGATCTTGGCATCTTTTTAAAATTTTTTTTGGGGGCGACAGGTTCTCATTCTGACACCCAGGCTGGATTGCGGTGACGCGATCAGGGCGCAGCATAGCCTCGACCTCCCCGGGCTCAGGAGAGCCTCTCATCTCAGTCTCGCAAGTAACTGGCTTTTTGTATTTTTAGTAGAGATGGAGTTTCGCCATGTTGCCCAGGCTAGTCTCAAACCCTTGGGCTCAAGCAGTCATCCTGCTTCGACTTCCCAAAGTGCTGGGATGACAGGCAGGAACCACCGCACATTCTAGGACACTTAAGTGCCATTTCTCCAGTCCTTCAATCTGGGGATCTTGGAAAAACCTCAAACCCCAAATCCACATCAGTGACATAGGTTATGGGGAGTGGTTGCCATGTCTGTCAACTAATGTAACACATGTGGAGGGTTCACCCAGGAGCTGATACTGGGATGTGCAAATACTTACTTAGAAGGGAAACTGGAAGGGTGAGGTGATGTTACCAATTTCTTGATATGCTCTGTCTGGTTACAGAGTGGACAACAGACTGTGGGGTTGAGGGAGGAGGAAGATCAAACTGGAAGCTACTGCCCTAGTCGAGGTGAGGATTAATGGACTAGAGTTGTGGCTTAGGCAATGTGGCTAAATCTGGATTTGTGTTTTTTAGAGGGGCAAGTCAATTTTTTTTTTTTCCGAGACAGAGTCTCGACCTGTCGCCCAGGCTGGAGTGCAATGGTGGAATCTTGGTTCACTGCAACCTCTGCCTCCCAGGTTCAAGCAATTCTCCTGCCTCAGCCTCCCATAGCTGGGATTACAGGTGCGCGCCTCCACGCCCAGCTAATTTTTGTATTTTTAGTAGAGATGGGGTTTCGCCGTTTTGGCCAGGCTGGCCTCGAACTCCTGACCTGGTGATCCACCCGCCGCGGCCTCCCAAAGTGCTGGGATTACAGGCTTGAGCCATCATGCCCAGCCCGGCAACTCAATTTTTAAATGGGAACAGTGAGAGCTTGAGAGGCTTCAGGAAATACCCCTGGGTTTTTGGTCTTAGCAGCTGTGGCAATGGGAGCTCCATCAACTGAGATGAGCAAGTTGATAACAGGTGTAATACTCACTGAGGCTATCAGGAGGTTTGTTGTGGCCATTCTGAGTGGAAAAAAACACAAATTGCTTTTGCTTTGCTCTCCCCCACAACAATCAACACAGAGTACTTCTGTGACTAAATATGTGTGGATGGTTTTCCTCATACACCAAGTAGTTCTCCAGTGGACATCAGATCCCACAGGTGAAGTCTCAGTCCCATGGGACTGTCCGCCAACCCCTTTCGATGCCAATCACAAGCCCCAGGATGTTTTGCTTTTTTTTTTTTTTTACCTGTCTTCTGACTGACTTGCTATAAATCAGGTTCCCATGACCCCTTCCTCGACTTCCATTAAATTGCTAGAGCCAGTCACAAAACCTCAGGAGACGCTTTAATTTGCCAGTTTATTTTAAAGAATATTTATAAAAAAGTTTACAGATGAAGAGATGCATAAGGGGAAGGGACCCAGAGCTTTTATGATCTTCAGGCACACCACCATCCAGGAACTTCCAGGTATTTAGCTATTTGGAAGCTCCCCAAACCCTGTCTTTATGGGGTTTTATCGAGGCTTTGTTACATAGGCACGATTAATTAAATCATTGGCCAATGCTGATCAGCTTAACCCTTGGCCCCCTCTCCCTTTTCTGGAGATTGCGGTGGGGGCTGAACTTTCCAGACCTCGAATCCCAACATAGTCTTTTCCCTGACCAGTCTCCATCCTGAAGTTATCTAGGGGTTACCAACCATCATTCAACTCATTACAATTGAAACTCACTTAAATTTGAGAATTTCGTGAATTTTAGGAGTTGCATGCCAGAAAAGGAGATGACCAAATATATATTTCACAATATCACAGCCATGTTAAGATTCTAAAATGTATTAGATACTACTTAATGGAGCTATCAAATGGGCAGCTGGACACATAGATGCAAATATCTGGGGAAGGGTTGATATTGGAGGTATCTAATATATGGTGACTACTGTGTGGACCGAGATGATTGAGTCATGGCTCACACTTGGAAGGCACAACCTTCAGATTATGTTGATGACACTGTTGGACAGGAAGTGGGGATTGGGTTTCCTGCTTGTGTACCTGGTGATGGTATTGGATTTCAGAAACACAGGTGAGGGAGGTAAATGGCCATGAAGGGAGGGTATATCTGTTTCTTCTTCTTTTTTTTTTTTTTTGAGACAGAGTTTTGCTCTGTCGCCCAGACTAGAGTGCAGTGGTGCGATCTCGGCTCACTGCAACCTCTGCCTCCCGGGTTCAAATGATTCTCCTGCCTCAGCCTCCCAAGTAGCTGGGATTATAGGCGCCTGCCACCACATCCGGCTAATTTTTGTATTTTTAGTAGAGACGGGGTTTCACTATCTTGGCCAGACCGGAAAGGGAGGATATATCTGAGCCTAGTTTGGCAAATGACATAATGCTTCCAAGGAATGAATAGACTTGAGATGCTTGCCGACGCATAGGAGTAGCTGAGGGAAGATGACACTCAGGCCGGAGCTTGTGTTTATTGGCTACCTTGTGGCCTCACCAAGATTTTGAGATGACTTTGGTATGGCCTGGGGTGTTTCATTCAGCCTGGTACCAGATATGGGGGCAAATATGGTCACCTTGTGAGAGTCACTATGCCTGAGATTGATGACCAATGGTTCTGGGCTTTGAATGGGGTTATGTGGACAGAAGAAAGTCATAGGTGCCGGGCATAGTGGCGCACACCTGTAATCCCAGCACTTTGGGAGGCCAAGGTGGGCAGATAATGTGAGGTTGGGGGTTCGAGATCAGCATCGCCAACGTGGTGAAACCCCATCTCTACTAAAAATAGACAAAAAGTAGCTGACATGGTGGCAGGCACCTGTAATCCCAGCTATTCGGGGGTTGAGACAGGAGAATCACTTGAACCTGGGAGGCAGAGGTTGCAGTGAACCGAGATTGTGTCATTGCATGCCAGCCTGGGTGACAAAAGTGAAATGCTGTCTCAAAAAAAAAGTCAGCCGGGCATGGTGGCTCACACCTGTAATCCCAGCACTTTGGGAGGCTGAGGCAGGTGGATCACTTGAGGCCGGGAGTTCGAGACCAGCCTGACCAACATGGAGAAACCCCGTCTCTACTAAAAAGTATAAAATTAGCCAGGCGTGGTGGCACATGCCTCTAATCCCAGCTACTCGGGAGGCTGAGGCAGGAGAATCACTTAAACCTGGGAGGTGGAGGTTGCGGTGAGCCGAGATCACGCCATAGCTCTCCAGCCTGGGCAACAAGAGTGAAACTCCATCTCAAAAAAATAATAAATAAAAAGTCATAGTTTCTGAGGATAGCAAATGCAGCACAGAAGTGGAATAGCACCATAAATATCTGAAAATGCTAGTGGTTCTTTTTGTCTGTGGATTTATGCATGGAGGGGTTCAAAGAATGATTTGGGGCTACCACTGCTATTGAGAAACATTAGAATTCTGTGGTGATTTTGGATTCCTTTTTAATTCACCAAGACTACTGTGGATGATGTCAGCCACATTGTGGTATAAGCCCTAAAGTTGAGGCCAGTATCATGTGCTACCTTCATGTCTGGTAATACCTCAAATGGTCTGAGTGCAAATCCCCTTCCCCACTCTGCTCTTTTGGATAGTGTGTCCTAGCCTAACTACCCTTTTAATCAAGAGGACTAGGCAGAGTTCCTGGTTATTATTTATTTGTAGCAGGTTTCAGTTTCATTTCTACCCGCAGAGATTCAAACAAGCCAGTTGCAGCTGGGTGTGGTGTCACACACCTGTGGTCCCAGCTACTTAGGAGGCTGAGGTGGGAGGATTGCTGGAACCCAGTGAGTTCAGGCTGCAGTGAGCTGTGATTGTGCCACTATGCTCCAGCAGGAGTGACAGAGCAAGACCCTGTCTCAAAAATTAAAAATAAAAACAAGCCAGTTGCATTCTTTTAAGGGAATCAGGGACTATCACACCCTCTTGATTGAGCAAAGCTTACATACCACAGTCCCTGGTTGCGCTCTCTCTTTTTTTTTTTTTTTGAGACAGAGTCTCGCTCCATTGCCCAGGCTGGAGTGCAGTGGCGCCATCTGGGCTTACTGCAACCTCCATCTCCCGGGTTTGAGAGATTCTCGTGTCTCAGCCTCCTGAGTAGCTGGGACTACAGGTGCATGCCACCACATCCGGCTAATTTTTGTATTTTAGTAGAGACGGGGTTTCACCTTGTTATTCAGGCTGCTCTCGAACTCCTGACCTCAGGTGATCCACCCGCCTTGGCCTCCCAAAGTGCTGGGATTACAGGTGTGCGCCACCGCACCTGGCCGCTCTCTCTTATGCATAGTTCAACCCCCATGTGGCTGTCTGTGGTGAGTGGTGTCCTCTTCTTTCAAGCTGTGAGCATATTTGATTAATGAACTTTCTTGATGACTTGTGTTCAGCGTCAGGTGTTGTGTGTTTGGCCATCACCATAACCCTAGGATGAGACTCCTACTCTTACCAGTAGAAGAAAGGGCGATTAAAATACTTTAACTTCTAGCAAGACCAGAGAGAGGCCTATGGTGTGGGCAGTTAGGTAGTGGTGGCAATTGGCATGTGTCTGTGGTGTCCAAAGATGTGAAGGATGTGTATGTACATAAAGATTATGTTTGAAAGGCCTCAGGCACTGCATTGGGATTCACGTGACCTTTGCTATACCAGGGGAATTGCTAGAAAGGAGAGGATGAAACCCTTTATTTCAGGACCACAGCAGAGATACCTGTTTGCTTATCTGCATCTTGTTGCTGATGGCTATGTGTCATGATTAATGGTCCCATGAGGACATAGTGGCACTAGTGGGCAAAGTTTCTCTTCTGAGTTGGGGATCCTGGGAGAAGGAGGATGGGCAAGGGTAGATATGTTGGGGAAGTGGATTGTGGGTCTTCAGCATAGGGGCCATTTGTGGTTTCATCTATCCCCATCATGACAGAGCAGTGTGACCTTTGAAGACGTGGCTGTAAACTTTTCCCTGGAGGAATGGAGTCTTCTTAATGAGGCTCAGAGATACCTGTACCATGACGTGATGCTGGAGACCTTGACACTTATATCCTCCCTGGGTAAGGTACTCATATTCACCTGTGACCTGAGTTAGTCTCTGCCACTCTCCTTTATGCCTTATCTCTTTCTCACATCAGGACCATGGACACAGCTTCGTTCTCCAGTTCTCTGGAGAGCTTCTGTTGTTGGTTGGACTGAGGTGTACTTACTCTCCTTTCCTTAAGCAGCTCCAACCTGCTTTGTTGCAGGCTTCCAGGGAAGGAGTCAGGGTCAGGAGTCTTAAAGTCACCCTAATGTATCCCACCTTGGTTGTCCTCTGCCTGTCTGGGTGACTGTGCGGATCCAAGGCTTTTGTTTGTCTCAAGCTCCATTTCCTTCCTCTAGCTCACATTTGTTCATGCCACAAATTGCCGGCACTGACATGGTCATTATGTACATGAATCACAGCCTGTTCTTGCAATACCCTACTTCAAAATTCTTTTTGTAGTATTTCATCAGGCACAATAATGCCTGTCATCCCAGCTCTTCAGAGGCTACTCAGATCCCAGGAGTTTGAGGCCAGCCTGGCCAACACAGCAGGTCCTTATCTCTAAAAATTTATAGGAAGGAATTCTTTTTATAATATTTAGTTTCCGGCCAGGCGCGGTGGCTCAAGCCTGTAATCCCAGCACTTTGGGAGGCCGAGACGGGCGGATCACGAGGTCAGGAGATCGAGACCATCCTGGCTAACCCGGTGAAACCCCGTCTCTACTAAAAAATACAAAAAACTAGCCGGGTGAAGTGGTGGCCGCCTGTAGTCCCAGCTACTCGGGAGGCTGAGGCAGGAGAATGGCGTAAACCCGGGAGGCGGAGCTTGTAGTGAGCTGAGATCCGGCCACTGCACTCCAGCCTGGGTGACAGAGCAAGACTCCGTCTCAAAAAAAAAAAAAAATAATAATAATAATAATAATATTTAGTTTCCTTTCCTGTGGAATATCAAATGCAGAGTTGTTCTGAGCCAGTATTGGCTGTTCATCTGTCCTATGTTTCTCTTAGTACTTAACATTATCGAGTTTCCATGTAGTTGCTCATCTTGGTGGTGAAATGAAGAGCCCGTGGTTGTCCCTAAGATGTAAATGAGTCCAGCCTTAGCAAGGACTTGGGGCAGCTTTCTTCTGAAGAATAGCACGTCAGTGAGGTCATGACATCAGGGCTGTATTCAAATTATGCCATATACCTCTTCTATTTGACAGTATTTCCGTGCCAATAGAAGTAGCCCCGCTTTATGTCTTTCCTTCCCCATTATTGAGAGTGCCAATTTATTAGTCCTACACCTTGTCGCTTCTGCTGTTACATTCAACCCAGGACTAATTTTCATATATCTGGACTCCACATCTCACCTATTTTTCTCACTGCTCTGTCTGCAGTGGTCTTCAATATTGACTCATGTATTTTGTATTATGAAGTATATACCCATTCTTTTTTTTCTTTTGAGATGGAGTTTCACTCTTGTTTCCCAGGCTGGAGTGCAATAATGCGATCTCAGCTCACTACAACCTCCACCTCCCAGGTTCAAACAATTCTCCTTCCTCAACCTCCCGAGTAGCTAGGATTACAGGGGCCCACCACCACATCCGGCTAATTTTTTGGGTATTTTTAGTAAAGATAGGGTTTTACCATGTTGGTCAGGCTGGTCTTGAACTCCTGACCTCAGGTAATCCACCCCCCTCGGCCTCCCAAAGTGCTGGGATTACAGGTGTGAGCCACCACACCCTGCCTGTATGAAGTATATACCCTTTTTTTTTTTTTTTTTTTTTTTCCTGAGACAGATTCTTGCTCTGTTGCCCACGCTGGACTAGGCTCACTGCAACCTCTGCCTCCCAGGTTCAAGTGATTCTCCTGCCTCAGCCTCCTGAGTAGCTGGGATTACAGGCACATGCCACCATGCCTGGCTGACTTTTTTGTTTTTAGTAGAGAAGGGGTTTTGCCCTGTTGACCAGGCTGGTCTCAAACTCCTGACCTTGTGATCCACCTGCCTCGGCCTCCCAAAGTGCTGGGATTAGAGGCATGAGCCACAGGTTTTGGCCATGTATATACCCATTCTTAACAGTCCCTGACCAAAGGATGTCGTGCTCTAGTCATGTTGTGGGGGCCTGGACATATTCTTTATATAGTACTCACATGTCATCAGCAAATAAGGTCCCACAGGCAAGTTGTTTGCAAATGAAGGAGTTATAGACCCTGCTGTTATTCTGTCTGTTGCCTCATTTAGTCATGCCCTTGACAACATGAGGCCTCCTATATCTGTGATAATGCTAAGCAGCTCCAACCTCAACCTGAACCCAACTCCCTATGCGTGCAGATAACTCCATAGACTAGTTTTTTTGTTTGTCAGATACTCTTGTAGGTAGGCTGCATACTCAACAAAGTCAGCATGTACCTCACCAGCGTTTCTTTGCTTTTAGGTTGTTGGCATGGAGGGGAAGATGAGGCAGCATCTTCTAAGCAGAGCACTTGTATACATATATACAAAGACCAGGGAGGTCATAATGGAGAAAGGCCTTATGAGTGTGGGGAATATAGGAAATTATTAAAGAACAAGTCCTGCCTCACTGAACCCAGAAGAGATCACAAACACAGGAATGTTCGCACTGGAGAAAGACCTTATGAGTGCAGCAAATATGGGAATTTATTTCACCAAAACCCTACACTCCATATTCGTGAGAGATTTCATACTGGGCAAAAGACCTATGAATGCAGTGAGTGTGGAAAATCATTTCACCAAAGCTCTTCACTCTTGCAGCATCAGACACTTCACACTAGAGAAAGACCTTATGAATGTATTGAATGTGGGAAAGCCTTTGCTGAAAAGTCCAGTCTCATTAACCACAGGAAAGTTCACTCTGGAGCAAAGCGTTATGAATGCAATGAATGTGGGAAGTCCTTTGCTTATACATCTAGTCTCATTAAACACAGGAGGATTCACACTGGAGAGAGGCCTTATGAGTGCAGTGAATGTGGGAGATCCTTTGCTGAAAACTCCAGTCTTATTAAACACTTGAGAGTTCACACAGGAGAAAGGCCTTATGAATGTGGTGAGTGTGGAAAATCATTTCGCCGAAGCTCTTCACTCTTGCAGCATCAGAGAGTTCACACTAGAGAAAGGCCTTATGAATGTAGTGAATGTGGAAAATCCTTTAGCTTAAGGTCCAACCTCATTCACCATCAGCGAGTTCATACTGGAGAAAGGCATGAGTGTGGGCAGTGTGGGAAATCCTTTAGCCGAAGATCTAGCCTTATTATACATCTGAGAGTTCACACTGGAGAAAGGCCTTATGAGTGCAGTGAATGTAAGAAATCCTTTGCTGAAAACTCCAGCCTTATTAAACACTTGAGAGTTCACACTGGAGAAAGGCCATATGAATGCACTGATTGTGGAAAATCATTTCGCCACAGCTCTTCGTTCCGTCGCCACCAGAGAGTTCATACTGGAATGAGGCCTTATAAGTGAAGCAAATTTTGGAAATTCTCTTGCCCAGGCTTTTTGCTCCTTCAAGGCGAGAGAGTTCACACTGGATCAAGGTGTTATGAGTGTGGCAAATGGGGAATATTCTTTAGCTGGAATGCTAGCTTCTTTACATAAAAGAGTGCTACCACTGAAGAAGTGCCTTTTGAGTGCAATGAATGTGAGAAAGCCTTCACCCTCTCTCATTGGTTACCAGAATATTTTCATGAGGAAAATACCACAGATGTGGAGGCAATATTATTTCTTCTTCAGTTTAACACTGGAGGAGACCCCTTATGAGGATGCCATCTGCCTAAATTGAATGTGCCATACATCAAATAGCTGCATACATTCCAGGTGTGTGGGAACCACATAGTATTTTTCAACCTGCCCAGGTCTCTTGCTAGACTTCTGTGACTGACAGTTCTCTTCTAAAAAGCATTTCACCTTTACCACTTGGCAGGTGCCCACAGTACATCATTCGCCTAACTCATCATGATCCAGAAGTAACTTTGATTTTGTTTCATTCAACAGAGAGATTTTTTAGTATCCTCAGTACTCATTCTATTCTCATTTCTTTCTCTCCGATGAGTTAGGCCATGAAACTGACTCATTTTTGGCACAGAGGACTCTTCTGATAACCTGAAAAGATGGACTGCCTTTTTCAGGTATCTTTTGGATCTCACAGAATTCTTAAGATGGAATTTTCCAGCCTGCCAGTCATGAATCTCAGACAGCTTGCCGCTTATTGCCCTGATTTGTGTTATAAAAAAAGGCCCTGTTGCTTAAGACACCTTCAGTCTTTGCAAGAGGGCATGGAAGCTCCAAGCGCTTTTCTCATACTTTACCCTATGCATCTCTATCTGCATCTTTTGTACTATTTATAATTAACCAGTAAATTATTTTCCCTGAGTTTTATGTGCCGCTCTATCAAATTAATCAAATCTGGTCGTGGGGGGCTCCATGGGATTCCTGGTTTATAGTTCATCAGTCAAAAGCAGAGGCTCTGGGGCTTTGATTGGCATCAGAAATGGGAGCGTCAGTCTTGGTGACTGAGTCCTCAAACTGGGGAATGTGATGCTATCTGCAGGTAGATAATGACTGAGTTGAACTGGAGGACCCCCACCTTGTGTCCACTGGCGGATTGCTTGGTGTGTGTGGAAAACACCCCGCATATCTGGTCACAGAATTATTCCATATTGATTATTGTTGTGTGACAGACAACAGAGGAAAAGTTTATTTTTTTCGACAAATATGCTATGGCTTCCCTTCTATTCCACATCTTTCTACTCCTGCCATACTATTTCTTTCTCTCCAAGTTTGTTATTCCTCAGAGTTCTCATAAATGGAAAGGATATGCCCTTTGTTGAAATAAGAATTTCATGTTAACCAAGTTTTCATGATAGCCGTGAGTTTCACTTAATTATCTCAGAACTTAGAGCTTACTGTTCTCTACTTACTATCCATTGAGACTTAATGTGTTCTTGGCCATCACAGAAACTTTACTAGCTACTTTTGTCATTGTCAATGGATAACTCTCTGAATCCACATTAATTACTTTGTAATTATCTCAGTCCTCAGCTGTGTTTCAGAGATAATCTCCAGTCTTCATGCAGATGCTATCGCTGCACCTACAAGTGAAATGATAATCACTTCCTAGCAAGGAAGTTGGATCATGGAATACAAGATAATTTATCAAGAATCAGATAGTCTTGTTCCACACCTGCAGGAATGTCAACATTGCAACCACCATGGCAAATATTGATTTAATAAGCAATTACTATTCCCAGATAAGTGTCAGAATCTTAGAAGAAATTGTAATATCTTAGACAATTTAGACGTGATAGAGGGTGGATGATGAAAAATTATTTAATGGGTACAATGGATACTATTTGAGTGATGGATACCCTAAAGTCCTGATTTAGTTTCTACACAATCTGTGCATGTAACCAAATCACACTTATACCACATTAAATTATTTAAAAAAAAAAAAAAAGTGTTAAATAGAAAAATGATGCTGCTTTGTGGGATTGGAACACCACACAGATGAAGAGATAGAACATAGTCGGAGGGACTCAGAGGCATGGTACCACCTTGTGTCATTCCCTTAGGGCTGCCTAGGATCTCTTCTTCATATTGTCTCTCATACTCTCTTTAAAGTATTCTCGTTGATAACCAAAACATTCTCACAACATTCATTATAAGCTTTACTCGGCCAGGTGCGGTGGCTCACGCCTGTAATCCAAGCACTTTGGGAGGCCAAGACGGGTGGATCATAAGATCAGAAGATTGAGACCATCCTGGCTAACATAGTGAAACCCCATCTCTACTAAAAATCCAAAAAAAAAATTAGCTGGGCGTGGTGGCGGGCACCTGTAGTGCCAGCTACTCAGGAGGCTGAGGCAGGAGAATGGCCTGAACCCAGGAGGCAGAGCTTGCAGTGAGCCAAGATCGCACCACTGCACTCTAGCCTGGGCGACAGAGTGAGACTCCATCTCAAAAAAAAAAAAAAAAAAAAAAAGGGACCTTTACTCACATAAAGTGAAGAACAAGAAGACTTTTACCCAGTTTTTGAGTAGATGTTTAGTGTCCTTCTAACATTTTTTGGATATGCATTTTTATCCTTTTGGGAACATGATTCACAAATGCCAGCTGCAGGACTATTTCATTAACGTGTTGAATGCAAGAGTTAAAACTTCCTGTCCCATTTAGTGAATGGAAAAAAAGTTACATGAATAAAAAGATCATAAATTACCAACAGCAAGATAATCAGGGACGTAAAACATCTCAATCCCTAAATGTTGCTTAATGACAACATGTTTTGTAGGTATATTTTATTTTCACAGTTACTAGTATTTTATTCCCTTCTCGCTGGAAAGATGTGCAGTGATTCTGAATCAATACAGGTGTATGGGGTGTCATCTAGAAGTCATAAAATGACTTATTCAAATTAACCATGTTATGACCACTCACACTCGCTGATACATATCTTCCTGTAACTTCTGTGGAGAGTGAAATTTTCTTTTCTTTTTTCTGTTTTTTTTTTTTTTTTTTTTTGAGATAGAGTTTCACTCTTGTTACCCAGGCTGGAGTGCGATGGTGTGATCTTTGCTCACTGCAACCTCCACCTCCCAGGTTCAAGTGATTCTCCTGTCTCAGCCTCCAGAGTAGTTGGGATTACAGGCGCCCACCACCACGCCTGGCTAATTTTTGTATTTTTAGTAGAGATGGGGTTTCACCATCTTGGCCAGGCTGGTCTCGAACTCCTGACCTTAGGTGATCCACCTGCCTCAGCCTCCCAAAGTGCTGGGATTACAGGTGTGAGCCACCGCGCCCAGCCTATTTATGTTAATTTTTATACCATAGAAGCGACTAAGGGCAGGTCTAGAGTTAGTTGAGGTGGTGATAAAAGAGAAGGACAGGGTTATATTGACAAGGCTGACAGAAGGGGTAGTCCTTTTAGTGAAATAGATGAGGGGTTTTAGATCTGCAAAAACCTTTTCGTGGAAGTCTAACTTTGCTCTTGGGTAGTTTATGGGATGTAGTCCTATTTACTACAAGGTTTCCAGGTGGTAGGAGCAGAACATTGGTCCTGGCTGCAGGTCGTTACAACAGTGAGTGCTAGGGATAACTGTGTCAATTAGAGTGCTGCGGCATAAATATTTGTGTGAAAAGGCTAGCTGTTGTTGATCTTTTACATTTCTACAAGGTATGACAGACCAAGCATTAAAAGCAATAGTCTGAGGTGAGTCAGACTTAGTTACATTAATAAAAAAGGAGCTAGTAACAGAATAAGTAAAGGAAGCAATACAAAAGGTGTATGAAAATTAACCTTTCTTTAACTTAGTAGGGCTTGATCCTAGTACAGTAACCCATAATTCTCAGAGGAAGATGTTTTCTTGACTTGAGTATGGTGGGTCCATTTTTTTTCTCTCAGCTGCGCGGACAGCAGTCTCAGCGGTTAACGGTGTAAAATAGGGTTCTTCCCAGGCTGGCTTGAGCTTTTTCTGTCTTTTGATGAGGATGTGGTTTTCAGGCTGGTGCTGGTGTACTGGAAATTCTAGGGGTGGTACCTGTGCTAAAAGACTTTTAGTTCCGAGGGAAAGGAAAGTGGAAGATAAATTAAGTATATAATTTTTGCTGCATATTCTGGGGCTTTAGGCCACATGGTGACGCCTTCTGCTCCACTGTTGTTCAGCGCCGGCCAGGGGATGCTGCGGCCCTGCCCCTTAATGTCTTGACCTTCTTGTGGCCTTCACCGCCCTTGCTCACTGTGGCCTTGGGGATGGGGGCCTTGTGACTTATCTGGCCACCTTAGGGCCTTAAGAAAGCTAAATACCATTGTATATTTGACAATGTTTTTTTGTATGATTTTATATCAGGTAAGTTAAATTTTATCTTTATATTAATGTGCTATTAATGTTAAACTTAATTTTAATAAAATCTTATAGACACTGTCTAATTTTAATGTCTGACTATAAGATAAGACTTTTACAGACTCTTTTTATAATTTTTGTTAAAGAGCAGGTTAGTGCTTTAAGAAAAATCTATCATGCTTTAATTTTAACGTCCAGTTCACAGAAAAACTGGATGATACCCTTTTACCTTTAGCCAGTATGTTTACACACAGAATTTCCTTTACAATTAACATTTTAAAACTTGCTTACACCTTTAAAACAAAAAAATTTTTTTAACCTTTAATGTAGGTAAACATCCATATTCTTATGCCTCCTTGTAATCTTATTAAAAGTAGATTTTATTTTTCTTAACATACCTTGTACATAAACTGTTTAATAATAATTTTACATCCAGGAGGCCTAACTACTTTTTAATTATACAATATTTATTGCATAAATTCCGTTTTATAGCTTTTCTTACAACTTTCACAATCTTCAACATGTCTTAACTTTCTGCTTTCCTTTTACACTATTTTTTTTCCTAGTTTCACCTTCTTTGTCTTTTTTTTATTTCTGTCTCTTCAGTTTCTCTCACTCTTTCCTTCTATTTATCTCTCTCATTTGCACTCTATTTTCCGCTCTCTCTCATCCCGTTTCCCTTTCTCCTGAGTTCTCCAGCTCCTGCGGCAAGTAGGGCTAGGCCACCGCACAGGCCCCGCCCCCGCGCTATTTTTCCTGTTTTTTTTTTTCCCCAGATTCCCCTTTTTACTCCCCCACCCCCTTTTCTTTTTACACTTAAGTTTCTTGGATTGAATGGGATTTGCGCGACTGCAGTCTGGGCGCCGGACAGTCATTGGCCTAGCGGCTTGACAGATATGCCGGCCGCAAATTCCAAGAATTATGTCTTTTCACCTCCTATGCCCTCCACCCGGAGCCGGTCCCCAACCTCTTTTCGGGGAGAGGGACTTAATCTTTGGCGTGCCTGCCTAGCTGTTTGGCTCTGCGCTTGCTGTTTTTGTTTTCTTTCTGACTTCCTCTCCTAGTTTCTTTTTCTTTTCTGCTGGTCTTTCCTGTGTCTCTGCCAGCCACCTATGCTGCTGTTTTCTCCTCTGCTTTCCCCTCCCCTAGGGGAGGGACCGGCAGGAGCGGAGCTATTGTTTCTTCCCCTGAAAAGGAAAGGGGAGTTCTGAGTATTTTTCTTACTACCGGAGGTTTGTGTGAGGTTCAACCCCCGACTGGGGATTTCTCACCTCTTTCTGACCTCCTAAGACATCCTAAGGAATATTTTACCACCCCTGCGGTTTTTCTCTCCTTGGTATGTCCTAACCAAGGAATGCTTTACCATCCCGGCTTTTTCCTTAGTCCCCGACCACCCACCAAGGAAATACTTTACCAGCTCCTGCAGCTTCTCCTTCCGTGGTCTGTGCACAGTTGTCGCTGCATTATGTGAGGATCTTTAAGCTAGGTTGCTGGCCAGTTTTTTTTGTTTGTTTTGTTTTTTTCCCCATTGCTGAGAGTACGGATTTATTCGTCACACCGGGTGGGTCTCAATTTCTTACCCTTGACGACCTTGCAATGAGGCAGGGGAGCGCGCTACCCCATGAGAGAGGACTGGAGACCGCCCCGGAGGAGAATGTGTCCCTGTACGGATTGCCACCAAATTGCTTGAAATGCTTGTTCTCCGGTGCGGTAAAGAAATAGCACTTGAACATAAATTTATTCAGTAAGGCCATTTTTACTTCCTGCAGAAAGGGTACGCTCGCCGGGGTTTTGCCACTAGAGTACGCGGAACTAAGGAGACAGGGTCATTTATAACCTGAGGCGTCCACCCTACCGCTGTGTCGGTTTCCATTGGCTGGAACGGGACCTCACATTCTGTATTTGTCCCGATTGGCTAGCAACTTAGAACTTTTCTCTTTTTTTGACTGAGTTTCACTGAGTCCTCCAGGTTTGAGTGCAGTGGCAGGATCTGGGCTCACTGCAAGCTCCGCCTCCCGGATTCATGCCATTCTCCTGCCTCAGGCTCCCCCCACTACCCTGGTTAATTTTTTGTATTTTTCGTAGAGACGGGGTTTCACCTTGTTAGCCAGGATGGTCTCCATCTCCTGACCTCGTGATCCACCTGCCTCAGCCTCCCAAAGTGCTGGGATTACAGGCCTGAGCCACCGCACCCTGCCCTCAATTTCTTTTATCACACTGACATCTGTCTCAAAGGAAGGGCAACTTAACCAATGCCACTGGGGTACACATCAGCGGCTACAACTTTCACAATTACTGCACAGGTAAAAAAGGCCATCTGAATGATAGCATAAACATGGCATCTGAGCTCCAAAATGTCATCTACTTACTAGCAAGTAGTTATTATTTTCCAGTGACTGCAGGAATAGTTTCACACTGGGAACTAGGATTATCTCAGAATAAATGTTTTTATTTATTTTTTTTTTTTGAGACAGAGTCTGTCGCCCAGACTGGAGTGCAATAGTGTGATCTCAGCTCACTGCAACCTCTGCTGCCTGGGTTCAAGTAATTCTCCTGCTTCAGCTTCATGAGTGAGTAGCTGGGATTACAGGCATGTGCCATCACGCCTGGCTAATTTTTGTATTTTTAGTAGAGATGGGGTTTCACCATGTTGGCCCGCCTGGTCTCAAACTCCTGACCTCAAGTGATCCGCCCACCTTGGCCTCCCAAAATGCTGGGATTACAGGTGTGAGCCACCGCCCCCAGCCTCAGAATCAATTACAGGTGTGGTGGCTCACAGCTCAGGCCTGTAATCCCAACACTTTGGGAGGCCAAGGCAGGCAGATCACTTGAGGCCAGGAGTTTGAGACGAACCTGCTAACACAGCGAAACCCCATCCCTTCCAAAAATACAAAAACAACAGCCAGGCATGGTGGCTCACGCATGTCATCCTAGCTACGTGGGAGGTTGAGGTGGAAAAATCGCTTGAACCTGGGAGGTGGAGGTTGCAATCAGCCAAAATCATGCCACTGCACTCCAACCTGTTTGACAGAGTCTTAAAAAAAAAAAAAAAAAAAAAAAAGCAAGCAGCAACTCAAATATCCATAAATGGATGGATGAATGAATGAATATACAATGACATTTCATGGCAGACTATACTTCTCAGCAATATAAAACAAATGAACTCGTATGTGTACATTGATATCAAAATAAGCATGATGCAGGACAGCACCCAGGAATTATAAGAGGAAACACTTTATTACATCAGTCAGAAAATTCCAGGAAATATAAAGCAGAGTAAATCAATGGTTGTCTGGAGAGCAGAGAGAAAAACTTTATAAAGCTTTCATGTAAATACAAAGGTGACAGATTAAATTCATTATTGTGACTCTGATGATGATTTCATGGGATTATAAGAAAATTCAAGCCAGGAGCAGTGGCTCACGCCTGTAATTGCAGAACTTTGGGAGACCGAGGCGGGCAGATCGCAAGGTCAGGAGATCGAGAACATCCTGGCTAACAGGGTGAAACCCCGTCTCTACTAAAAATACAGAAAAATTAGCCGGGCATGGTGGCAGGTGCCTGTAGTCCCACCTACTTGGGAGGCTGACGCAGAATGGCGTGAACCCAGGAGGCGGAGCTTCCAATGAGCTGCAATCACACCACTGTACTCCAGCCTGGGCGACAGAGGGAGACTCTCTCTCCAAAAAAAAAAGAAAAGAAAATTCAAGACATTCAAGACTTATCCTACAGCTCAAATATGCATACTTTATTGGACATCATTTATATCTTTATTTTAGACAGAGACAGGGTCTCTGTCACCCAGGCTGAACTACAGTGTTGCGATCTCGGCTCACTGCAACCTCTGCCTACCAGGTTCAAGCAATCTTCCCACGACAGCTCTCCTGTGAGTTATGAAGCCAGACTTCTGGATAAATATCCTATATTTGTCACACTAGTAAGGCCTTCATTCAGTGTTAAATATAATCCTGAAGGAATACAGAGATGTGGCTACAAAACTGCCCGAATTTATTTTACTTACAAGGACTCTTCTCTAGTGTGAACTCTCCAATGTCCAAGGAGAGCAGACCTTCGGGTAAACATTTTCCACATTTGCTGCAATCACAAGATCTTACTCAGGTGTGTACTCTCCTGTATTTACTGAGACTGGACTCACTGCACTCATAAGGCCTTTCTTTTGTGAACTCTCTGATGATGACGAAGTGAAGAGATTTGTCTAAATTTTTTTTCACATTCACTACACCCGTAAGGCTTTTCTCCAGTGTGAACTCTCCTGTGTTTAGTGAGACTGGAGCTTTCAGCAAAAGATTTCCCACATTCACTGCACTCATAAGGCTTCTGACCAGTGTGAACTCTCTTATGAACACGGAATGTAGAGCTGTGGGTAAATGCCTTCCCACAATCACTGCATTCATATGGCCTTTCTCCAGTGTGAACTCTCTGGTGTGCAATGAGGTGGTACTTGTGCCTAAAAAATTTCCGACAAACGTCACATTCATATGGCTTCTCTCCAGTGTGAATTCTCTGGTGAACAAGGAGGTGGGACTTACTGTTAAATAATTTCCCACATATCTCACATGTATAAGGTTTTTCTCTAGCATGAACTCCTTGATGATTACTGAAGCTATTGTATTTACTAAAGGATTTCCCATATTCACACCACACATAACATTCTTCTCTAGAGAGCAGTCTCTGGTGCTGACTGAGTATATGTTTGGTGCTAAAATGTTTCATGCATCCTCCACGGCTGTAATGAGTTTTTCCCCCATGAAAGGGAGACACACACTCGGTTTTTCTGTTTGACTTCTCCCCAATGTGAATGGCCTCTTTCTGGAGTAATCCTGACCTGGGCAAAAAGTCTTTCCCACTCTGACTGAAGACAGATGACTCCTCTGACACATGGAACTTACACCTCTTCACAAACGCTTCCTTAACACTGCCTCTGTAGGGTTTCTCTCCAATGTACTCATTGTGGTGTTGATGAAAGTTTCCACTGTCACACAATTTATTCCCCCAGGCCTCACAGCTGTGCAGTTTCTGCTTGTGATGTGTTCCCTGATGATCTCCCACGTGCAGAATGTCTCCTAAGATAGGGCCACACATCTCACAGGGGTGGACCTTCTTAAGAGACACACCTGCCATAGGAATCCTGACCTGAGTCTCTCTTTGTATATATATACTCTGCTTAGAAGGTGCCTCCTCATCTTCCACTCCACACCAACAACCTGAAAGCAAGAAAATGCTGGTGAAGTGCATGTTAACTCTGGTGGGAAGGCACAGACCACCCACAAGTGTATCTGACAAACTGAGGAATTACTCCAAGGAAATACTTGGAGGAACAGAACGTTGGCTTCAGGTGGAAGATGGTGCTATTTATTATTACTGGACTCTAAAGGTCACAGAATGTAGGAGGCCTCATAACATAAAGGACACAACCATGTATGTAACACAGGGAGTAAAGGCAGGGTCTACAATTCCTGCATCTGCAAACCACTCATCTGCAGAACTTTACGTCCTCATGACATGTGAGTGCTATAGAGAGGGATTTGTCCAGGCCAAGGAAAACAGGAACACAACACAGCAGCTACTGCTCGAGGACAGTTTAACAAAGTGTACCATTTGCTAACACAAAACCTGTATGCTAATACTGGAAACCACTGCAGATGAAGATGTGAGTAAAATTAAGATGTGGGGTCCAGAGACGTGAAGATTATTTGGGGGACTAAATATCAGACTACAAGCTCATGTACAAAGCATTAAAAAAAAAAAAAGGGTACAACTGACAAGGAGTACAACTGACAATTCTGATGCTCTTAACAATGGGGAAGAGACCAGGAGCAGTGGCTCACAGCTGTAATCCCAACGTAGGAAGATCACCTGAGCCTAGAAATCCAAGACCAGCCTGGGAAATATGGTGAGACCCCATCGCTACAGAAATTATTTTTAAAATGGTCAAGCGTGGTGACTCATGCCTGTAATCCCAGCACTTTGGGAGGCTAAGGCAAAGGGATTGCTCAAGTTCAGGAGATTGAGACCACCCCGGGCAACACAGCAAAACCTCCTCTCTGCAAACATAGCCAGGCGTGATGGCGTGCACCTGTAGTTCCACCTACTCAGGAGACTGAGGCTGGAGGATCACTTGAGCCCAGGAGGTTGAGGCTGCAGTGAGCTATATTCACACCACTGCACTCCAGGTAACAGCAAGTGACAGTGTGAGAACCTGTCTCAAAAAAGAAAAGAGAGGAGAGGAGAGGGAAGAGGGAAGAAAAGGGCCAGGCACCGTGGGTCACACCTGTAATCCCAGCACTTTGGGAGGCCAAGGTGGGCAGATCACCTGAGGTCAGGAGTTCAAGACCAGCCTGACCAACATGTAGAAACCCTGTCTCTACTAAAAATACAAAATATTACCCGGGCATGGTGGCACATGACTGTAATCCCAGGTACTCAGGAGGCTGAGGTCAGGAGAATCACTTGAGCCTGGGAGACAGAGGTTGCAGTGAGCCGAGATGGCACCATTGCACTCCAGCCTGGACCACAAGAGTGAAACTCTGTCTCAAAAAAAAAAAAAAAGGAATGGAGAAGGCCAGGCGCAATGGATCATGCCTGTAATCCCAGCACTGTGGGAGGCCGAGGCGGGCGGATCATGAGGTCAGGAGTTTGAGACCAGCCTGGCCAATATGGTGAAACTCCGTATCTATTAAAAATACAAAAATTAGCCAGGCATGGTGGCACGTGCCTGCAATCCCAGCTACCCAGGAGGCTGAGGCAGAAGAATTGCTTGAACCCAGGAGGCGGAGGTTGCAGTGAGCCAAGATCACACCACTGCACTACACCCTGGGCAACAAAGTGAGACTCTGTCTCAAAAAAAATAATAATTAGCTGGGCATAGTGGCATGCACCTGTATTCCCAGCTTCTCAGGAGGCTGAGGCAGGAGAATTGCTTCAGCCCGGGGGGCAGAGGTTGCAGTGAGCCGAGATCAAGCTACTTCACTCCAGCCTGGGCAACAGAACAAGATCCTGTCTCAAAAAGCTAACAAAACCAAAAACAAGAATGAAGGAGAAAAGACGATACAGAAATCATGTGTGCCTACTTGTCTGGACCCAAAAATACTACTGAAATAGAACAGGTTTCTGGCATGATTTGAATAAAACTCTGACATCATGCCCCACTGTTCTAGGATGCTATTCTGCAGGGACTCACAACCCATAATGCTGAGGTGGGATTCATTTGCATCTTCTGACCACAGAAAATGATCCCACCACCAAGATAACCAAGTACAAGAGAAATACATGATGTAAGAACAAAGGGAAAGACAGAACACAGAAACAGCCAACACTGGCTTAGAACAACTCAGCACATGACAGCAGACAGGAAGCTAAATATTACAAAATTTCTGTTTTTTGAGACAGAGTCTTGCTCTGTTGCTCAGGCTGGAGCACAGTGGCACAATCTCGGCTCACTGCAACCTCTGCCTCCCGGGTTCAAGCAATCCTCCCACCTTAGCCTCCCAAATAGCCAGGATTACAAGCGTGCGCCACCATGCCTGGCTAATTTTTATATTTTCAATAGAGACAGGGTTTCACCATATTGGCCAGGCTGTTCTCAAACTCCTGGCCTCAAGTAATCCACCTGTCTTGGCTTCCCTGAGTGCGGAAATTATAGGCATGAGCCACCGCACCAGACCTACGAAGAGAATTTCTAAGGAGGGTATTTCAAGAACACTCTATAGTCTATGTAGGCAGTGACAATGTCAATGAAGACAATTCCTGGCACAGGGAGGCATGAAGAAATAGCAGGCAGAGAAATGAATTAGTTCCCAAACCTGAAATCTGGATGAAATCATAAACATCCACAGGACAAACAAGGTAGCCTGCATTAAGATGCCTGTAAGACTTCTGACTCTGAATTCTTCCCTGGGAGCCTACAGCTCCCTGGGAGCTCACTAGCAGGTGTTGGGGCTGCACCAAGAAAGGAGCAGGGCAGTATGGACACCTTAGTCCTACCAACCAAGAAATTACCCACAGAACTGAAGTAGGAAGCTGTGTCCATGCTCCTGACATGAGAAAGTTTTGCCAATAGAAAAAGAGGGGGAAAGACAGAGACTAGCTCAGGTCACAGGGGTGAGTGTGGGCAACTTACCCAGGGAGGATATAAGTGCCAGGTTCTCCAGCATCACATCACGGTACAGGCATCTCTGAGCCTCACTAAGGAGATTCCATTCCTCCTGGGTAAAGTTCACAGCCACGTCTTCAAAAGTCACTGTGCCCTGTTATGACGTTGACAGATGAAACTACAAACGGCCCCTATGCTGAGGTACCACAATCCTTCTCTCCCACACATCTACTCTCGCACGTCCTCCTCAAGGTCCTCAAACATAGGAGAAACTAGGCCCACTGGTCATGGGGTACAGCCACCAACAATAATTAGTTGAACCAGATAGGTATCTGTGCGGTGGCTGTGACGTAAGAGTCCACCGGCTCCTGACAGGCACTTCCCCTAGTAGGGCCGAGGTCATGGACAGCCCAATGTGGCACTTTCAGCACAGCAGAGATACCCTCTCTGAAAGCACATTCTTTAGACTTCCCAGGTACATATCCATGTCCATCCCCAGCTGACTGCCACACACCACTGGCCTCTCTCTAGCCCTTAAACAACTTGAAGTATTAATGCCCTCCTTTTTCTTCTACTAGTGTGGGTGGAAATCTCCCGCTAGAGTTATATTGTAAAGGGGCAAAATAAATGACAACTGATACTTGACAGATGCCATTAACAGCAGTTTAAAAATAAAATATATTCACAAACTGGTAAGAGGGACACCACTCACCACAGAGGGGTTTCACTGTGGATAAGAGAGAGTAACCAGGAATTGTATAATGCAAGCTTTCTAAGATGAAAAGGGTGTAATAGCCTAATTCCCTCAGGAGGATGCCACTGGCTTCTTAATATAACTCTGGTTATAGAAATGGAATTGAAAAACACTACAAAGTATAATAATCAGGAACTCTACCTGGTCCCGCTGATGGAAAGATTTCTTAGGCTATGATACATTACTTAAAATAATAGAGGACTGGGAGTGGTGGCTTACATCTGTAATCCCACCACTTTGGGAGGCCGAGGCAGGCCGATCATGAGGTCAGGAGTTCGAGACCAGCCTGACCAACATGGCAAAATCCCATCTCTACTAAAAATACAAAAAAATTAGCTAGGCTTGGTGGCGGGTGCCTGTAATTCCAGCTACTTGGGAAGCTGAACCAGGAGAATTGCTTGAACCTGGGAGGCGGAGGTTGCAATGAACCGAGATTGTGCCACGGCACTCCAGCCTGGGTGGCACAGCAAGACTCCGTCTCAAAAAAAACAAAAACAAAAAAAAAAGACAGTAGAGTAGAGTGGGAAGGAAATTTGCACTCAGGTCATTTGAGGACATACCAATATTGCCAGATATCCAAGTGGCAAATCACACTGGGCCTTCATTTTTGGGCTCACATGACATCATGGCTGACACCATCCAGACTATGCTTGGCCAACTCAAACAGGATCCAGTATCACCACAGAATTCCATTTCTATTGGATCCTAAAAGAAGTGGTAGTCTCAAATGATTCTATGAAGGCCTCCTTGCACGGCTCCATAGCGACACAGAACTATGCATGACTTCAGATATCGGTGGCGCTTGCACTTCTGTGCCACACTTGCTGACCCCTCAGCAATTATGACCTTCCTGTTTTCACCTAACACCATTTAAAGCCAAGCCCCATTGGTCGTCCATACCAGGCCTAGTGACTGTCACAGATGAGCATATTTCCTCCTCACCATATACTCCATGGTGAATGAAACTCCCCAGGCACCAACATAGTTGTGTCACAATCTTGGCAAGTGCATATAATGGGAAATAAGCACCAACTGCAGTCTAAGTGTCACCTTCCCTCAATTACTCCTATACTTCTGAATGCATGTCATGTCTATTATCTCCATGGAAGTCCATGTCCCCTGACAAAGTATGCTGTCAGATACATCTTACCTTCATTGTCACTTATCTCCCTGTTCTGTGTTTATGAATGACAATAATGTCAGCTAGAGATCCAAGCAAGGAATCCAGTCCTCAGTCTCTAATCACTGCTTCCTGGCCCGCTAAAAGATTTACCATGTTAATCTGAAGTGTGCCCTCCTAAACGTGACCCTTGGCTAACTCACCTTAGTCTACACGTTCATTTCTATATATTGCATGGCCCCAATATCAGTTCGTTTCCAGATATCCCACCCTATGTGGACATTACTGACTTGTTGCCTCTACTTACTGGTCTCTGAATCATCTCAGATTCTTAACAACCCTCCTTATAACCCCAGTGAATGTTATGCCTACTGTCAATTTGCTCATCTTAGCTGATACAGCCTCTATCAGTACAGCTACTAAGACCAAAAACTATGGGATCATACCTGAAACCTCTCTTTCACACATTACCATCATATTAAAATCTAGCTTCCCCTTTGCAAAATGTGAATAGTGAATCCAGCCACATCTTCTTAGCCATGAATTGTTCATTAACCCTCACCTGGATTATGGAATCAGCCTCAACATTGATCTTCCTTCCTCCTCCCTCAACTCCACATTCTGTTCTCCAGTGTGGAGCCAAACAGAACTTCAGTAACATCAGCTCCCCGCTCTTATCAGTCTTACCTCTAAGGATTTTGCTTCCTGGCACAAAATACAGGGTTAACCTTCTAAGTGTATTTACACAGGTTCACTGGAATGGGAATACCTCCGTACAACGTGTCATGGAGTTAGGACCTTGGCCTTCGGGTTTCTCCAAGGTTCCCAGATCAAATGTCTGAAAAAAACACGATTTAAGAGTCCCCGGGCCGGCCGGGCGCAGTGGCTCAAGCCTGTAATCCCAGCACTTTGGGAGGCCGAGACGGGCGGATCACGAGGTCAGGAGATCGAGACCATCCTGGCTAACACGGTGAAACCCCGTCTCTACTAAAACTACAAAAAAACTAGCCGGGTGAGGTGGCGGGCGCCTGTAGTCCCAGCTACTCGGGAGACTGAGGCAGGAGAATGGCATGAACCCGGGAGGCGGAGCTTGCAGTGAGCTGAGATCCGGCCACTGCACTCCAGCCTGGGCGACAGAGCGAGACTCCGTCTCACAAAAAAAAAAAAAAAAAAAAAGAGTCCCAGGGCCAGGTGTGCTGGCTCATGCCTGTAAGCTCAGCACTTTGGGTGGCCAAGGTGGGTGGATCGCTTGATCCCATAAGTTTGAGGCCAGCCTGGACAACACAGAGAAACACCACCTCTACTTAAAAATAAAAATAAATAAAATATAAAAATAAAAATTTAGCTGGGCATGGTACTGCATGTCTGCAGCCCCAGCTACTCAGGAGGCTGAACCAGGGAAGTTGAAGCTGCAGTGGGCAGAGATCGCGCCACTGCACCCGAGCCTGGGCGACAGGGTGAGAACCTGTCTCAAAAAACTTTTAAAAATTAATTTATTTACTTATTTATTTTTTGAGACAGAGTCTCCCACTGCCGCCCAGGCTGGAGTGCAGTGGCGTGATCTCGGCTCACTGCAAGCTCCGCCTCCCAGGTTCACGCAATTCTCCTGCCTCAGCCTCCCCAGTAGCTGGGACTACAGGCACCCGCCACCACTCCTGGCTAATTTTTTGTATTTTTAGTAGAGACGGGGTTTCACCGTGTTAGCCAGGATAGTCTCGATCTCCTGACCTCGTGATCCGCCCTCCTTGGCCTCCCAAAGTGCTGGGATTACGGGCGTGAGCCACCGCGCCCGGTCAATATTAAAGTAAATTTAAAAGAGACCCAGGCCACCACAAGCTAGAGAACATGTGGATAGAAGTCAGGACCAGTGAGGGAGTAGAACACCCTCCACTTTCTTTCTTTCTTTTGTTTTTTTTGAGCCGGAGTTTCGCTCTGGTTGCCCAGGTTGGAGTGCAATGGCGCGATCTTGGAAACCTACGCCTCCCGGGTTCAAGCGAGTCTCCTGCCTCAGCTTCCCAAGTAGCTGGGATTACAGGCATGCGCCACCACGCCTAGCTAATTTTGTATTTTTAGTAGAGACGGAGTTTCTCCATGGTTGGTCAGGCTATTCTCTAACTCCCGACCTCAGGTGATCCGCCCGCCTAGGCTACCCAAAGTGCTGGGATTACAGGAGTGGGCCACCGCACCCGGCCACACCCTCCACTTTCTTGTATGCGTTCCTTAAATGCTTCTAGAGCCATAAGGGCCTGAGGGGAGAGGCTGACTTTACAGGACTGTGTCCCTGATAGGATCTGGTAAGCTCAGGCCTCCCTGAATGCTTTTGTGTGCATGGAGCCAGGTGACCTTGGACTGTTGTCTGACCTGCGTGTCTCAGCACAAAATGTATCTACAAGGATTCAATCTCAAAGGGCCCCAACGTCATCCTCTCTCTGTTCTTTATTTGGCCTTGGGGAACTTTAAAAGCCCGGACTTTGATCCAGTCCCTTCTTTCTTGGAAATTCTCCATATTTCTAGTGTCCTCGCAATGATTACACAGCCCCCAGCCTCTTTGCTTTTCCAGGAGGAGTTCCGCCTCACAGGTTGTTCCCTACAGGCGCCTGTGGACCCCAAGTTCCATCCTCCTGGATCCGTCCATCTCCAGGCCATTGCCCTCGCCCCTCCTTGTACCTGTCGTTCTCCCCACCGCATCCCACCGGTATCTGAAAAAGGGATCCCTTCCGAGAGCGTCTCAGTGTCCCGACGCCAGGTCCGGGTTGCAGAGCCGTGAGCAGGTGCCGCTCCCTCGCTGCTTTAGGATTTATGTGACTACGAGGTGACCGGAGAGCACGGAAGGCGTCACAATTACCTGAACCGGGAACCTCAGAGCGGAGGCCGCCATGGGACCACGAGGGGTAGCTGGGTTAAGAGCCGCGGGCGCCGTTAAAGAGCTGCAGAGTTACGTCTGTGCAGAGAGAAGAACGACTTTCGACCTTCTGGATCCATTCACCACAACTGTCCCTCCACAGCGATCCCAGGCCTCTCATTCCACAAACACACCTAAAGCCAATCCAAATGGCCGCTACTAAAGGGTGCCGGGAGTCCCGCCTCTACCTTACCGTGCGCATACAGAAGCGCCTTCAATCTGAGCTCTCACTGGCTCTGCGGTGCTGTCATTTGACGCAGAGCTTTCTGGGTACTGTAGTTTCCCAGGTTCCAACATGGTAAAGAGAGCGATCCCCTGTGGCTCTTCCTAAGGGAAAGCCCAGCTCCACCTCTTGGGCTCTCAGGGAGGAGTCCTGACCCCGGACAGTGGCGCGCGCTTATAATCCCAAATTTTGGGAGGCTGAGGTGGCAGGAATGGTTGAGCCGAGGTGGTCCAGGCTGCACTGAGCTATACGTGCACCTCTGCACTCCAGCCTGGGCGACAGACCCTGTCTCAAAAGAAAAGTTAAGCATTTGTGCTGTTAAGGGAGAAGACCACCCCCATACTGTTTTATGCCCAATTTTTCCCTCCAAAGAAAGAAGTAAAAACTCAAAGGCAGAAATGAAATCCACAGGCAGACAGCCTGGCGCCACACCCTGGGCCTGGTTAAAGATCAACCCCTGAATGAACCGGTTATGTTATCTATAGATTCCAGACACTGTATGGAAAAGTGTTGTGAAAATCCCTGTCCTGTTCTGTTCAGTTCTGATTACCAGTGTGTGCAGTCCCCAGTCACATACCCCCTGCTTGCTCAATCGATCGCAACCCTCTTACGCGGACCCCTTTAGAGTTGTAAGCCCTTAAAAGGGACAGGGATTGCTCACTTGGGGAGCTTGGTTGTTGGAGACGTGAGTCTTGCCATAGCTCCCGGCTGAATAAAACCCTTCCCTCTTTAACTCAGTGTCTGAGGGGTTTTGTCTGTGGCTTGTCCTGCTACATTTCTTGGTTCCTTGACCAGGAAGCAAGGTGATTAACGGGTGGTTGAGGCAGCCCCTTAGGAAGCTGAGTCCTGCCCTGTGGAGCATCCCTACAGGGGACTCTGCCAAGCTTGAGGGACGTGGAGCCTGAGGGCACTCCCAGGTAGGCAGTTGTCCCGGTGGAACACCTTGCCAGAGCAGCACGTGGCAGGCTCCCATGGAGGATCAATGCAGTGGCTGAACACTGGGAAGGAACTGGCACTTGGAGTCTGGACATCTGAAACTTGGTAAGACTAGTCTTTGGAACTTGCCCACTCCATTTGAGTGGAAGGATGGCCTGATCACCCACGGCATGCCTGTACTGGCACTTTGGTTTTTGTTTTTGACTTGACTTGGATTGCTTGATACTTGGGTTTTGGTTTTGACCTGGCTTGGATTTCTGGATAATCTGATTTTGGTTTTGATTCTGGTTTGGTGTAAACCAAAAAAGAGTGTATATGCCCTTTTTACTTGTTCTTTGTTTCATGGTATGCCTGTGGTGTGAGCGTGGTGTTTTGTCTCAAAGAAGCATGGGTCAGGCACAAAGTAAACCCACCGCAGTAGGTACTATGTTGAAAAATGTCAAGAAAGGATTTAAGGGAGATTACAGTGTTACTATAAGACCAGGGAAAACTTAGAACTTTGTGTGAAATAGACTGACCAGCATTAGAGGTGGGTTGGCCAGCAGAAGGAAGCCTGGACAGGTCCCTTGTTTCAAAGGTAATGTGTCCAGAATTGGTTCCTTCCGGTGGGTTCTTGGTCTCGCTGACTTCAAGAATGAAGCCATGGACCCTCATGGTGAGTGTTAAAGTTCTTAAAGATAGTGTGCCCGGAGTTTGTTCCTTCGTATGTTCAGATGTGTCTGGAGTTTCTTCCTTCTGTTGGGTTTGTGGTCTCGCTGGCTTCAGGAGTGAAGCTGTAGACCTTTGCAGTGAGTGTTACAGCTCATAAAGGCAGTGCGGACCCAAAGAGTGAGCAGCAGCAAGATTTATTGTGAAGAGCAAAATAACAGTTTCCACAGCGTGGAAGAGGACCCAAATGGGTTGCCACTGCTGGCTAGGGTGGCCAGCTTTTATTCCCTTATTTGGCCCCACCCACATCCTGCTGATTGGTCCATTTTACAGAGCTCTGATTGGTCCATTTTACAGAGTGCTGATTGGTGTGTTTACAAACCTGTAGCTAGACAGAAAAGTTCTCCAAGTCCTCACCTGACCCAGAAGCCCAGCTGGCTTCACCTCTCAGCATGGCACAAGGTAACCTGTAAGTCGGCACCCAGACCACTTCATGTACATAGACACTTGGTTACAGCTGGTTTTAGAACACCCCGCCCTGCCCACAGTGGTTGAGAGAACAGCAGCATAAGCAGCTGGCAGAGGCAAGGAAAGACCAGCAGAGAGAGAGAAAGGAAAGAGACAGAGAGGAAAAGAGAGAGAGGAAGAGACAGAGAGACAAAGAGGGAGTCAAGGAGAGAGAGAGAGAAAGAGAGAGGCAGAGAGAGAGAGGAAGAAACAGAGGCAAAAGGAAAGTCAAAGAGAGAGACAGAAAGTCAAAGAGAGAAAGAGAGAAAAGAGAGATATACAAGTAGTTAAGAAAAAAAAAGTGTACCCTATTCCTTTAAAAGCCAAGGTAAATTAAAAACCTATAATTGATAATTAAAAGTATTCTCCATAACCTTATAATGCTCCAATACCACTTTGTTGTCAGTGTAAACAAGGGCATATCCCGAAAGCACTGAGGCCTTCCTATCAAAAATCCCTAACCCAGTAGCCCTCTGATGGCCCAGATGCATTCAATCTGTAGTGGCAACTGCTTTGCTAACAAAAGAAAGTAAAAAATTAACTTTTAGAGGAAACCTCATTGTGAGCACACCTCACTAGTTCAGAAGTATCCTAAAAAAAAAAAAAAAAAAACTCAAGCCTGTAATCCCAGCACTTTGGGAGGCCGAGACGGGCGGATCACGAGGTCAGGAGATCGAGACCATCCTGGCTAACACGGTGAAACCCCGTCTCTACTAAAAAATACAAAAAATTAGCCGGGTGAGGTGGCGGGCGCCTGTAGTCCCAGCTACTCGGGAGGCTGAGGCAGGAGAATGGCGTGAACCCGGGAGGCGGAGCTTACAGTGAGCTGAGATCCGGTCACTGCACTCCAGCCTGGGCGACAGAGCGAGACTCTGCCTCAAAAAAAAAAAAACCAAAAAAACAAAACAAAACAAAAAAAAAAGGATGATTTAACATTAACCCTGAAAATTCCCTTAACCCAGCAGGTTTCCTAACAATGGATATAAATCTTAATTACCATACAAAGGTCTGACCAGACTTAGGAGGAATTCCCTTCAGGACAGGATGGTCTATGGTTCTTCCCGGGTAATTGAAGGGGGAAAAAAAAAGTCATCTATACCAATTCTAAGTTAATTTGGACTAAACAAGGTCTTATTAATAGCAAAGGATAATTGAAATCCCAAACTTACAAGGTTTTCAATGAAAGTAAAGTTTGCTAAAAGTTAAGAGTGTAACATGTATTATAGTAACTTCTAATTTTCTGGCCTTAGACAGTCTAGTCCACAGACATAAAGGAAGTTCACTTTACAAAACAATGGTTCTCATCTTCAAAAAAAAAAAAAAAAACGGGGGGGGAAGGAAGGGCAGAATTTATGTAAAAAGAATGTTATATGGTAAATTCTTGTCCTGAAATAAATTAACTGGTTGTTTACGGAAAGAAATGTTTCTAATAAGTCAAAAAGTTGAGGCATGTCGAAGAATTGTCAGCGAACGTTGTGAAAGAAAAAAGTTATTTAAAAAATTATGCAAGAAATGTTGTATAATTTAAAAGTAACTAGGCCTCCTGAATGTAAAGCTATTTAAAAAAAAAAGTTGAGGCCGGGCGCGGTGGCTCAAGCCTGTAATCCCAGCACTTTGGGAGGCCGAGACGGGTGGATCACGAGGTCAGGAGATCGAGACCATCCTGGCTAACACGGTGAAACCCCATCTCTACTAAAAAATACAAAAAACTAGCCGGGCGAGGTGGCGGGCGCCTGTAGTCCCAGCTACTCGGGAGGCTGAGGCAGGAGAATGGCGTAAACCCGGGAGGCGGAGCTTGCAGTGAGCTGAGATCCGGCCACTGCACCCCAGCCTGGGCGACAGAGCAAGACTCCGTCTCAAAAAAAAAAAAAAAAAAAAAAAAAAAAAATGTTTATGTGCAAAGTGTATAAGGAAAGTAAAATATACCTTTGGTAAAAGGATAATAAGGACGCATAAGAACGTAAATTTTTACCTACATGAAAAGATTAAAATATATATAAATGGCCAGACATGGTGGCTCACCCCTGTAATCCCAGCACTCTGGGAGGCCAAGGAGGGCGGATCACGAGGTCAGAAGATCGAAACCATCCTGGCTAACACGGTCAAACCCCATCTCTACTAAAAATACAAAAAATGAGCTGAGCGAGGTGGCAGGTGCCTGTAATCCCAGCTACTCGGGAGGCTGAGGCAGGATAATCGCTTGAACCCGGGAGGCGGAGGTTGCAGTGAGCCAAGATCGCGCCATTGCACTCCAGCCTGGGCAACAAGAGTTAAACTCCGTCTCAATAAATAAATAAATAATACAGGAAGCATTGTCAGATATAAAATAGTGTTTGACTTCTTTAGTCTAAAAACTAATAAAAACAGGTCTTAAGGAAATTCTTCAGTAGAAAGGCACCAAAAACTATAAAGTCCACTGCTGATGTCCATCCCCACATTTAAAACAAAAGGTCAATTTCTTAGAAGTTATATACTTGGTTTATCTCCCACTTTACTTTCCCTCAAAACTAAAAGTCTTTTAGCGCAGGTACCATCCCCTAGAATTTCCAGTAAACCAGCGCCAGCCTGAAGATCAAAGGTGGGAAGAAGGTGGAAAATGTGGAAAGGTTTCACATCAATAGGTGGAAAGAAGAAAAACTCGAGCCAGACTAGGAAGGACCCTACCTTGTGCTATTAACCACCAAGATTGCTGTTTGTAGAGTGGAAAAGGAATGGGCTCATCATACCCAAGTCAAAGCGCCACCCCCTCCGGACTTGTGGGCCACAGTCCCAGGGGGAAAACTTTACCAAACTAAAGCTAAGAAAAATTTAATGCTTTCATCTATTCTATTACTCTTTCTTCTTTCC